AAAAGGAAGTGGAGGGATGGAGAAAGGGCAACGGACGCCCGACCCATCACCGGTTCCAACCTCAACGACAACAGCGACCTAACCGGAACAGCGATCCGTACGGTCCACGACCAATGGAGCTCGACGCAGCAAGACTCCCAGACGAAGAACAGAAGCGTCGGAAGGACAACAGACTCTGTTTCAACTGTGGCAAGCCAGGCCACATGTCAAGAGACTGTCGCAGCAGAAAGGACGACAAAAAACCACAACAGTTGCGCGCAACTCAGGAACGAGGGGCGTACGACACCACTGGGGTGGAAAAAACACAGCGACTCTGTGCGACTCAGGAAGAAATACGGGACGAGACAGGGGATGTCCTAAGAACATTGTCACAAGACAGACTAAGACATGAGACAAGTGTCCTAAGAGAGGCCACGACACAGGACGGTGGGCGCCATGGGACGAAACCCAAGGAAGACGCAACAGGAAACGCACCAACTCAGAAGAAGAAGCGAGTCAGAAAGAGCATGATCCAACAGCCTAGCCAGAACTGGATGATGAGCTGGCCAACGACAAATGAACAAACCGAGTGGGCGGCAGAATGGCCACCACTACACACCAATGAACAAAAAACAAAGCCAGAACCTGAAACGCAGGAGCTCAAGGCAACAAGAGAAGCCAGTCAGGCTACAGTCGACTCACAGCTCGAAGAGTACGACAGACAGGAACAGTATCCACGGATTGACCTGGACACAGTCGAAAGTCAAGGGTGGACCCGGTACGCCTGGGAACCCATTGACCCCCAGGAACTCACGGGCCGACCCCAGGAGCGGGGCACGCGGGACCCAGGAGCCACGAATGGACTCCCAGGAACGCTGGAGATCCCAGGAACTCCACCCCGGCTCCCAGGAACGCCCTACGAGTTCCTAGGAACGCCTCAAACGTCCCCAAGACATGAAGAACTTCCAGAAACGGTTAAGGAGCTCCTACGACATTGGACAACCTTGCCTGAGGAAGAAATACAGGAAATCCCAGAGACCCCACCAGAGGGATACTGGATGAGCTACCAAGAGGAGCGGGAACTACGACAAGTCTACGAAACTGGCGGCATGGCCCCAGGGGACCCTCGCAGGATCCTTTTTGACGAATCAGACGACGACGAAACGGCGCCGTACGCCATCAGCACGGAAGGAACATGCCCGTGCCACAGGGAGAATTGCGCCTGCATCGGATACGCACGACACCCAGATCATGACCTAAGAGCCGCGATTGGATGCTACGACTACGACTGCAGAACGCATATGCAAGGCAAACTGGACCATGGGGGAATCGAACCTAAACCGCCGCAGCGATTGCAACGCCCAGAGTGGAGACAACAACTCGCAGCGACGGCGTGGGGGAAACACATGAAGGCAGAAGCACTGATCACCTTCCACGGGGGAATGAGATCAGTGCACGAGTCATGATCGACTCAGGAGCTGCAGGAAACTTCATGGATTCGAGCTTCGCTTCAACCGGCAGAGTGCCGACCATCAGGAAGGCCCGCGCCACTCCTCTCGTCGGGCTTAACGGGGAGAAACTCAGCGAAGGGATCACACACCACACAGAATGGATCGACATGATTGTTGGCAACCACCTCGAACCCATATGCTTCGACATTACGGGATTAGGAGGATACGACGTGGTGCTTGGTATTCCATGGCTACGCCAGCATAGCCCAAGGATCGATTGGCGAATGGACGAAATCCACTTCGACCACTGCAAATGCAAGCAGACAGAAACCAGATGGACTGGAAGAGAACCACCGAGCATTGAAGGGCCTAGCCCCGGGACGGCAGGTACCTATCGCGACCCGTACGAGGACGAACCTAAACGGAGTCAGCGGCCCAGAGGCAGGGCATCAGGTAGAATCATGGATGTGGACGTCCTCGCGACGACGGAACAGCGTCCAGACATGTCGGATGACGAACTACGAGACTACATCATGATTCACCACGAATCACGACGAGCCCTCTGTGCAACAGGGGAAGAAACACAGATACCTGAGGAGTACTCCGAGTACCGGGATGTGTTTGAGGCACCAGCAGATGGTGTACTCCCGGAGCATGGTCCGTTTGACCATGAGATTAGGATCAAGGAGGGCAAGGAGCCAACCTTCAGGCCAATCTACCAATTATCACCGTTGGAATCAGAAACCTTGAAGGGGTACATCGAAGAAAACCTCAAGAAGGGATACATCCAGAAGTCATCATCATCGGCTGGATATCCAATCATCTTTGTGGACAAGAAGGACGGAAGCCTTCGACTTTGTGTGGACTATCGGCATCTGAATGAGATTACCATCAAAGATCGACACCCGTTGCCTCTCATCCAAGAGATGCAGGATCGCATTCAGGGAAGTGTTTACTTCACCAAATACGACATCACCAACGCATACAATCGCCTCAGGATTAAGGAAGGCGATGAGTGGAAAACGGCGTTCAGAACAAAATACGGGCATTTTGAGTATACGGTCATGCCGTTTGGACTCACGAATGCGCCCGCAGCATTCCAACGTTTCATTTTCAGTGTATTGGAAGAATACCTTGACATCTTCGTGATGGCATACTTAGACGACATCTTGGTGTTCTCCAAAACCATGGAAGACCACGTGCAACACAACAAGAAAGTACTGCAAAAACTCAGAGAAGCTAAAGTCACACTCAAACTCAAAAAGTGCGAATTCCACGTTAAGGAAACGGATTTCCTAGGATACGTGATCAGCAATAAAGGATTCGGCATGCAAGAAGACAAAGTCAGGAGCATTCTGGATTGGCCAACACCCAAAAATGTGAAAGAAGTTCAACAGTTTCTAGGGTTATGCAACTACTACCGACGTTCAATTGATGGGTTCGGAAAAGTTGCGGTGGACCTCAATAAACTAACAAAGAAAGATCAAAAGTGGGTCTGGGACGACCAATCAGAAAATTCGTTCAACGCCCTCAAGAAGTTGTTCGTCGAGCGAACAATACTTGCACCTGCAGATCCAAGCAAACCATACACGGTGGAAACCGATGCATCTGACTATGCACTCGGCGCACGACTTACCCAACCAGGGGATGACGGGAAACCACGACCAGTTGCGTTCTGGTCCAGGAAAATGATACCCGCAGAAATCAACTATGACATCCACGATAAGGAACTGCTAGCCATAGTGTCAGCACTCAAGATCTGGAGAGCATACCTGGAAGGGGCAAGCCACCAGGTTCTTGTGAAATCGGACCACAAGAACCTCACATTCTTTACCAGCACGAAAGAATTGACAAGACGACAAGCACGATGGGCAGAAACCTTGGCAAGATACGATTACAGGATCGAACATTGCCCAGGCACAGCCAACAGCCAGGCGGACGCGCTCAGCAGAAGACCCGACTACGCGATAGGGGTCAAGGAAGCCGTTCCGGCCATACTCAAGGAAAATGGAGACGGTCACCTAGTGTACAATCACCAGATTTTGGCCGCCACCAGCGAAATCAAAAACGATGGTTGGATGGAAAGACTGAAGAGCAGCCTCACCGACGATCCAATCATGGAGAAAGAAATGGATGGGGAATACATCAAAAATGACAACGGGTTGATCTACATCCACGGATTGATCTACGTCCCACGACGACTTCAAGACGAAGCGATACAACGACACCACGACGACCCAGCGCACGGTCACATGGGAGAAGAAAAGACAACGGAACTCCTTTCGAGGAACTACTACATCCCAAGCATGCGCAAGAAAGTGATAAGATATATCAAGCAATGCGACACCTGTCAACGAAACAAGCCATCGCGACACACTCCATATGGCGAGTTACAGAACTCGGAAGTACCAACACGACCATGGGAATGGATTACGCTCGACTTCATTACCAAACTACCCAAATCAGACGGGCACGACATGATTATGGTAGTGGTGGACCGATTGACGAAATATTCATATATGATACCAACAACAGAAACCATCGACGCAAACACCATGGCTTTCCTGTTATTCAGATACATATTCGCCAACCACGGAACACCCCAGAAGATAACATCAGACAGAGACAAGCTCTTCACGAGCAAGATGTGGCAATCATTCGCGGATATGGTAGGCATTGAGCATAGACTCTCCACCGCCTATCACCCACGAACGAATGGCCAAACGGAAAGAACCAACCAGACCTTGGAACAGTACCTAAGGCACTACGTGAACTACCAGCAAGATGACTGGGCAGGACTGTTGCCACTGGCACAATTCGCGTACAACAACAGTATGCACACAACCACTAAGGAAACACCATTCTTCGCAAACTGTGGGTACAATCCCTCGATCGTTGGCGAAGCAATCGGAAAAAAGACAGAAGCAGAGTCATCAAGACTACTAGCTTCACAACTCAAGCAACTGCACCTCCAGTTAGCTAGAGATATCGAATTTTTCAACCTACGGATGAAACACTACCACGACAAATCCCGCCAGAAGGGACCAGACTTCAAAAAGGGGGAGAAAGTGTACCTCCTACGTCGGAACATCAAAACCAAGCGACCGAGCTCGAAGCTCGACCACCTAAAACTGGGACCTTTCGAGATTGAAGAAAAAACAGGACCGGTCAATTATCGCTTGAAGCTACCAGACAGCATGCGACGCATCCATGCAACATTTCATATCTCGTTACTCGAAACCGCACCAGAAAACGCTGAACTCGCTACAAATGTGGAAATAGAGGAGGAAAACGAAAACGAATATGAAGTAGAGGAAATTCTAAACATGAAACGCGTCAGCGGAAAACCTCACTACCTGGTAAAATGGAAGGGGTACGATACCTCGGAAAACACATGGGAGCCTACCGAGAACCTGACGGACTGCCGCCAGCTGGTTCAACGGTTCCACCAGGAGACTGGCCAAAAACACCATCAAGGGAAGAGACGTCCGGGACGGCCCAGAAAGCATCCGGCATCTGGTCCATCGACGCCACCAACCTCGTCAGACTCGAGTCTGACGTAGCGGCCAACTAACGAATCTCTTGCTGCTCGGCCAAACGGTCGAACTCGGACAGTTCAGCAAGAGAAGGAGGATCGTCCTCGTTGAGACGATCCGACACTACCGAGTCGTGATCCAACATCCGACCACCACGATCTTTAAGAAATTGTTGATGCTTTTGCAAGCGAAGTATCTTCGCCATCGCTTCGTTCATCTTTTGGGAATACTGAAGAAATTGCTTTTGGGCCTCCGTGAGGTCCGCCGACACCTTCTGCTCCTCCCGCTGCAGGTCATCCCACTCCTTGTCGGTATGGAAGCTCCGTTCGCACACCTGGCCTCGACGGGCGCAGGTAGAACACTTCTTACTGTTCGCATAAGGACTCATAATGCAACACTTGCCGCGAACCAGGCAATAATCACAAGGGGATGACGTGGGGCGACCAGACTGTTCGATTCTAAGGGCAAGACGATTGTTGTCAGCGTACTTGTTACGTTTCGGTTTTTGAACAGCGGGTTTAGGCATGGTGAACCATGACGGGAAAATTAAAAATCAAAGGGACCGACACTTACCTGAGGGGGGTGAGCGGTTATAAGGGATTCTCGAGGACGAGAACCAAGGAGAGGGGGAGATGATGTTACGGACCCTGCGACACGAGGGGCCGCGACCTACAGATGGGCCACCGAGAGCCAACCGTTCCTAGGAAAAGAACGCAGAACCGGATCACGTGACCAACGGCCAGAATCAGCCTCTGATTCGCCGTGTCAAACAATACTGCACTAAACCACGAGACGGCTAGCGCGACGCAAGAACAAGCGTTCTTTCTACCGTCACCAACTTTACGCCAGAAGTACAAGTACCCGGTAAGACCACGTGACCTTGGGTATACCAGTGGGTATACCAACGGGTAGATGGGAGGGTCGATTCTGGTATACCACCAGACATACCCTCCAACATACCACACCACGGAGGATTAGGTATATAGGGACGCTCGTCCACGCACATGTATTTAGTTCTCCGCGATCAATCAATCTAAGTTACTGTGACGTACCTTTCGGATTACTCTTCTAGTTTCACACAAGTGACAAACCCACACAAGTACGGGGAGCTCATCGGACTGACCTACTTGGCGCCCTACCTGGCACACCCTTCGAAGTTACTCAACAAGACCCGAGCCCGTGTAAGGCTTAGCATAGCAACGGTACGGTTGCGAGTCGATACTTAAGGCTTTATTGGTGTTTGCTCTTGAGAGGCCGAATCCAGCCCTCTCAGCGCAAATCGTTATTCTACTGAATAACAAAAGTGAGTTCTACCAACTGTCCAAACACTAATAGTGCGACCAGTTAGCGAGTGCGTAACACTAAGGATCCTAATAGACAGAGATCTTTATTAACAGTAATATAGGGGTATAAAAACCTTTACTTAGTTCTCTAAGAATTATATATAGTAATTAGAATAGTCTATATACTATAGATAGGGGTACTTTATTAGCCTACTACTTCTAAAAGAGAAGTATTATACTTAGCTTAATTAAAGTAATATTTCTAAATAAATTTATAACTAATAAGGTCTATCTCTATACAGATATTAATATCTATATACGTTTTAATATTATTTTAGATATAAATCAGAATATAGAGGTAGATAACTATTCCTACTTAGAGCTAGAAGTTAGAACTTATAGAAGCTAGTTTAACTCTAGCGCTTTTCCTAAGTTTCTTAATTAAGTATTATTACAGTAATACTAAGGTCTTAAATAAGCTTATTAGATCTTTACCCCTAGGGCTCTTAGCAGTAGATAATATTTACTTACCTAATAGCCTGGCTTACTATAGTTAAAATAATTATTTAAAGGGGTTCTAATAGATTAGTTAATCTCTCTGATAAGTATATTATTTAGATTATTATTATTTTAAGAAAGAAACAGATAAAGATTACTACTAAAATAAAGAAGATTTAGGTATAAGTTAGAGTTATTTTAATTTAGGTATAAGTTAGAGTTATTTTAATTTAGATATAAGTTATAGTTATTTTAATTTAGGTTAGTTTTAGGACTATAAGGATCCTTTAAGTATAGATTTCTAGGGCTTTTTTAATTTTATTCTTTACTATTAGACTGGTTTAGGAATAAGTTATTAAGTTATAGGTATTTTAAGCTTAAATTAGAATTATTATTAAATAGATTATACTTATATACTTTTACTTTAGTAAATTCCTAGGTACTCTATACTTCTTCTATCTATTATACTTAAGTTTCTAGAGAAACCTTTGTATACTATTAAATATATAGTATTAACTATAGCTATAGCTTTAATATATAGCAGTAAGCTTACTTATCCTGGGAGACCTAAGAAAGATAATATTCTAGGTCTATAAGATAGTAGTAAAAGACCTTTAGTTCTTTATTAGATTACTGGTGGTAATACTCTATCTTATTACTAACTTCTTTAGTAAAGGTATTTTTATTATATATTAAGATAAAAGTCTATTCCTTAAAATACTCCTAGCTACCAAAGTAGTTATTATAATTATCTTTAAGGTATCTCTCTTCTACAGTCTAGTTATTCTTATAGTCAGAGTTAAGATATTTAACTCCTATAAGAATCCTTATTTCTTTATCCTTATAGACTTTAGGATTACCTTAGAAGATATATCTAAGCTAAGAGAGCCAGTTTCCTTACTCCTAAAGGCTAAAGGATCTCTTAAATTTATCGACCTCAAAACCCTCTACTTTCTTATACTTTTTAGTCTCAGTTCCCTTATAATTCTCAGATAGCTCGTCTAGAAAGATTCCAGTATTTAGATTTCCAGAAACCTAAGCAGAAAGCTCTTTAATACGGGCCTAGATCGCCAGGAACTCTTTAAGATGCTCTAGTTTGTGTTTCTTCTCTTCTAGACTGTCTGTATTAATGCTTCTAGGCTTAGGGATGCTCTCGGTTACAGATTTACCTGTAATTCCCCTGATCTGTATCCTATAAAAGGGGGGGAGGAGATACGTTAGTATTGTATACGGTAGCTCTGCAGATTAATATCTGATCTGGCTCAGGTTCTATAGGGTTTTTATACCGATCTGGGGCCGATTCGATCTTGGGTCAAATCATAGGAGGGGGGGGGTATAGCGACTTCGGATCGTATACTACTGCGGGAGGATATAGGGTTTCGTTGTGTAGAGGGTACTATCTTCAATCCTTAGGTAGTTAAGAGAGAAGAATCAGAATTGTAATAGTTACTAAGTTGTTAGGCTAGAGATCTGTGACTAGGCAGGGATATCGGACGGTAGAGATCAGATTAGGCAGTCGATACAGAGACTGATTCTTAAGAGGATCAAGAATCCTGAATACTTGTGGGATCTTAAATACATTAGGGCTCGGGTGGATATCAATATGCAGGTGACTCAAAGGGGATTCATCCATGAATCGGCCTCGAGAGTCCGGGGTATCGTATACTTCGAATCCTGTGACAGATAGTACTACAGGTCAGCTCAGTCTAACTATATTTCTTAATTATTACATTGGTTTATTACTTCACCAGTAAGTTCTAGGGATAACTAGTGATTCCTTGGAATCAGTTGAGTATTTTGGGTAGGGTTGCCTCTAGAATCTGTCGCTTTGTGACAATTATCTTAGGTGCCAAAAGTTTAAAGCTCACTATACCTACTTTCTGTATGTTTTAATTTCCTGCAGAAGTCTTATAAACCAGTAGTTTATATATTACCCCTCCTTGTTCCCTAAGATATCTCAACACAGCTCGCTAGGCTGGTCAGAATAGGAGGAGGGTAATATTTTCCCTTAGCTAGATACATACCGAGCTCTGTCTTGGGACGCCTGTACTGTCGCTTATAATAAGCAATATAGGGCCAGCCGAACAGTCGAATCACTATAGGGGAAGAAATATCATATTCTCCGAAAATGCCGTCTCAATCGTGCCAAGGTATCTGGGCAGCGCTCAGTTCTCAAACGCCAAAGACGTATTCGACGGCTTGGGGGTGCCAGAAAGAGATTCCCAGCACTTACGAATACTAAGGCTCAAAATATCGACCAGTGGCTTCAGAGAATATCATCAGAAGAGTTAACCGCTTCGGAGAACAGTTTTGCCTTAGAAAAGTCACATTCCAGTACACAGGTATTTCTTTGTCGGTTAGTTATGCTAATTTGTTCTGTTATTTAGTCTATACCACACCGGCTCTACATCATCCTCAGTCACGAGAATCCCAGTCTAGGTCCTAGCTTTAGGATTATATATACTGTATCTGTAGAACCAACGAGCTACCTCTTTATGGGGAGTAATAATTTGGAGGAATAGGATACGATAGGATACTTAGTAAAGATATACATTAGAGCAGCTTCGGTCTACCAACCTAATACTGTGCCTGTGATTTTACAGTTGCAGGATCTACTTAGTATCAGGAATCGTAGATATTTGTATAGGTATAGTGCCTGATAGATATTGTTTTTTAAATATAAATTACCATATATAAGCTCGGTTCTCCTCTCTTATATTTTCCTAGTAGATTACAACCCGGAGTCAGTAATCTAGTAAGTTAATTATTACATAGGACTTCACAGTCATTTTACTTACCTGGGGCCTTCTAAGTAGCTATTTTTTGTCTTTCGATTGCGTTTTACAAACTATTAAGCTAGATATCTACAGAAAGAGATATGATATCTCCAATAAGTTTCATTAAATTAGAGGAAGGAGAATAGTGGTGTTGAACAGAAGCTACTTTGTCAGAATCCGGAAGCAGATTCTTCTTCGAAGATTGAAGGATTTTTGGATGCTGAAAGTTGAAATGCTATTTAAACGTAGGATTCCCTAGTTATTATTACGTTCTTTAAAATTGGTTCTAAGGATATAGAATCCCCCAGCCTAATTAGAGAAAGTCTGGGTACTAGTAGGTAAATACCTTATCAGGGTCTGAAAAGGGATGGTTATTGACTACCCCGGCTGATCTTTGACCTCGATGTCGAGACTCTACCGAAAATATTTTTGCTAATTATTATGATATAAGGCTGGTGTAGATGAGAAACCAAAGCAAACTATCGGAATTAATCCCGAAGTATATATAGAAAGAACTAAGTTGATTAGCTTATCTTCTCGCTGTAGGTATAGCCTTATATTTCCCTCTAGAAGAAAATAATTTATACTTCTGAGCTACAACACTAAGCATATATTGATACCCTCAAATATCGATCTTTTCCCGGATTCGTTACGTTATATATGCCATTGAATAAAGGATGTAATTTTTATGGAACAGAACGTACCGACGCAAGTAATCCTTCCGCAGCCATACGCTACTGTAGCACTTTTATGCCTACTCGCTGGTCAATCCAAATTTATTCGAAGAATACCAGATACTACTTTTGGACTGGCGACCTTCAGACCGGCAGACTACCCTAATTATCCAGACTCTTTAGATGTATGGAGTCTGGATCGTGATTGTTTGGAAATTTTTCTTCTCTATCGGTACTGTGGTCTTATTTCGGACCCTTATTGGGGAGATGTAGATCTTGTCTTTTACTTTGCTGTTTATAAAGCTAGGGATGGACCGGTGACCCTCGAGAAGCTTGTTGCCAAGCTCGTTTAGCAGGAGCAGTGTATCTTGATATACTAGATGACTTAGCAAAAAGGCCAGGGGCAGCTGGCGAAAAAGCAAGACTGTATCAAACTAGACGAAGGTACAATAACCAGGTTTTTGCTCTTGCCTCCTTTAGCGCTCATTGGCATATCTTGGTGGGCTATAAGCGACTGTGTCTGGAAAGCGAGTATACCGGGCATAAAGGACTCAGTGAGTTAGTTTATATAACTATAGGCAAAGAACTTATTTTGTTTCTATATACTTATTGTGAACGAAGGTTTTCCAAAGGGATAGAGCGGCCGGTGTGTGATAAAGCGCAAGGCGTAGGAACTCTTATCGTTGGTCGACCAGATTTACTTATAGGGAGTGACAGAGTACTGAGATTTTGTCATCAAACATATAGAGGCTTGGTACGCATTTGGGAGGATGTGCTATGCCAATGAATTTGAATTACTAGGCCAGTAACTTAGTACAGATTGGTTTAAGAAATGGTGGGAGGAACACAGTAAATCTATTATACTAGGGCCAATAGCGTCCCTGTAGCTAGCAGGTTAGGTTGAAAGCTTAACTGCGGATGTTCAAGACATGCTACGATCTAGATCTGTGTTTCAATTTTGGGAAGCGCACCAACGAGATACTGATCCCAATACTGATGGTGAGCCTATAAGTTGGCGCTGTGTAAAAGGGGACCGTGGTCCGGTAGGGAGCCGGGGGTATCCTTTTTTAAGCAGGGAAGATTTTCTGGCACATTGTCGTCAGGCCCATGGATACAGTAACAGAGCTAGGCCTCGCCAAAACCCACCCACTGCCCAACCCGCCCGCGAAAACCCAGCCTGTTGGAATATCCCGCTTGCTGAGATAATAATGAGGCTGGATCACGTGCATACATTTACCTACCTCTCACTTCACTTGTATCTTAGACAACACACGCAACACAACACACAATCAAGTCCCCTCATTGAAGCATCACTTAATAAACCAAAACACCCTAATCACCCGAGTTGCGCGACGCTCAAGCGGCGCGCACCCCATTCTCACCCGGGCGGCACCCACCGCACTACTTACTGTGTTTTAGCCACACGCCGGCAGGTTAGTAGTATGGTGGGTGACCACATGCGAATCCCTGCTGCTGTATTTTTTGTGTATTTTTTTTGTCGAGAACTGGTCATTCACCTGACGCTGTACAAAACTATATTTTTACCATCATCACTGTCTGGTCCGATCTTATTTACCTTCTCTCAAAGTACATACAATTATTAGATAATTCTCTATACAGTCTATACCAGTGGCTACTACAAACCTTGCGGCAATAGCTACTAGGTACTACCTAGGTAGTGACTCGGATTTTCTTTTACAGCCTGTAGTCAGGTCTCCCCACCCACCACCTATAATCTTTCTAATTACCAATTGTATAGACTCAATATATAGCTGCCAATAAGTATACTGTGAGCAAATTCTGTGAGACAGCTCTGGTTTGTCATTGTGAAAAGAATAATCTGACCTTAATAGTGAAAGGTTCTTCAGCTATGATTATTGACATTGCGCTTGGAGATAAATTTGATAACAGAATTACACTGCAGACAAACCAAGCCCGACCCGGACAACTTTGTCTCCAATTTCGAGATCAAAACCAAATGATATCTCTAAGCTGTCTTGGATACTCCCGTGGTATCCCAATATAAGTTCTTGTTGAGAGTATACCAGTAATCGGTGCAGAAGAACACCCAAGTCTCAGGATTCGTGCGAACCAACTCAATATTGGTCTTGCGACCACTATTTCTCAAAGCACCTCGTTGACCGTCCCATTCAGATTTAGCAGGTACTGTGTAACCCTTTCCAACATGCTGAAAAAGAGTCCCAAGATTATCTGTTAAGCGGGTCAGCTATGTCTCGCATTCAAGTTACATCACAGAGTACTAGTGGACGTACAAGTCGCATCTATAGTGTCGTCGTTGCCAATAACCAGGTGGAATAACTCATGGAACAAGGTCGCACTTTTAGAGAGCACGTCGCTAAGCTTTTTGCCTTGAGCATCGACACCGAAATCAGCTTGTACGTCGGTTCTTATGAAGGCCCTCGGGCATAATGTGACGGTCCTTCGCGCCGTGATACCTTGGGTCACACCCAGTTCGCCCAAATCACCGCATAAACCTCCTTCTCCATGGGCATCATCTATGATATACTCATCAAGGTCTGAAGACCAGTATGGCACCAAATTTCCGTCTGCTTTCAATTGCGATCCATATTCCTCGGAGTTTTGAATTTCCACCTCTTTATCACACTCTTCAATTTTTTCTGTCCTAGATTTCTCTTCCAGCCAGGAGCTGTCGCAAAACAACCACGGCATGCCTCCTGGAATAGAGAATTCCTTGTTCATGAACGATTGAACATCCTCGAGAACCTCTATAGTATTTATTGTAAGCCAAAATCCGGCAGATGGTACCTTTCAGGCAAGTAATGAAACAGTTGGCTTGAAGATGGCCAAAGGGTAGTAAGAGATGGCCTGATGTCTTACCCTTGGTTTGATCCACGTGTACATCGGACGTATCATCGGTAATACCCAAATATTTCGCAAGAGCATGTTTCGCGTTCTTTGTTTTTATGTCATCAGCGTCACCCTTTGCGTCAGCAAACGCAGAAATACCGGCGGAGACCATGGCTTGAGATTCTGTCCACCATCGCGTAAGGACCGATAAGTGAGAGTCACAACCGCCATTCTCGGTTCCTTGCTTCACTTCAAACACTTTACCAATCTCGTTTGAAAAGGCAACAGGGATGTAAAAAAGCCAGAAGACCAAAATCTTCATGGTGATCGATGACATACTTCTCCGATCCCTAGTAGAAATATATGTCGTGATTTTCGTCTAATCTCGGAGAAGTGAGAGAGAATGACCTTTTTATCAGAAAAAACGGAGTGGGACATTGGGGATTTATCTTTAGGAAAATGCCCTGGGATTACTAGCAGGGGGTGGCCCCCAATTTCTTGTGAACCGCATTGATTCGTAACCTTCATCTAATTATAGAGAGTCTACGAGTCCTGCTTGGGGTTATTTATTTCAGGGGTAGATTGATGAGCCAGGTTTAATGCGGACGAATTCAAGTTGGAGAAGCCATGAAGAATCAGGCGTTTCGAGTTAGATGGGTGACCGACGATCATCTGCACTGCAAAATATTGCTACTGGAGCAGTAGCTGAATATTCCAAGTCGTGTTCGAAGGGCTTCAATTGGGGAGGAATTGACATATCTCCGGAATAAATTTCAGGAATAGATCAGTTCCAGATGAACATCAACCAGAACCTTATGGAATCATTGATACTAACAGCCGCTTGTTTTTGTCTCATCTGCGTAAATCAGAATGCTGATGAAAGTGCTGTGTACTAGAGTATGTACTTTGTAAGAGTGCGAAGCTGAACGCCACGGGTGCATTGACCCCCCCAGCCCCCTGGCCCCCATCCCCTCAGCCCCCAACCCCTCTAACCTGGCCCCTCCGCCCCACCCGATGGCCTGACGTCGCTTTCCTTTTTCACTCCCGCTCTCTCTTGTTTATTTGCGCGCTGGACTTTTCACTTGCACGAAACATTTTGACATACTACGTTTAATATCCCAAAGTTATCGTTTTCTTGATCTCCTCAGTCTGAATAAGCAGCTATGCCAGCTCCGCGGCTGATGGTCTTTACCAAATTTTACGTGCCTGAGACCGCAAGTCTGGAGGACGAATACTGGGGAGATTTCGCACAGAACCTGAAAGATTGTCCCGGGCATTATGCTTCTAAATGGGGGCGAATCGAAGAACATTTAAATGATGTTCTTCTGATCACATGTAATATCCCTTCCCTTAACGAGTAACAAAGATACTAAATTCGCTAGTGTGGACATCACAAGAGGAATTGAATCAATTCAGAGCCTCATTATCATACAAGACCTACTTATCAGCATTATGCCGATACTCATCAATTCCGCCAGAAGTCTACGAGTTTGATTATAACTTTCCAAGCCCATGGTTGAGAAACCCAAGCTATCGTATCTCTTTTATATGTGCGCACTTCTCAGCTTCAATGGGCCTGGAGGAAAGCCACGAGGAGCCTAGAGTCAAAGCCCTCGAATCTAAAGTCACTGTTATGCCCAACGCACGCAGACGTATGACGGTTGCACATGCAGGCACCCCTATAGGACTCTGGGATAAAACGAAAGCAGACGATGGGGAAAAACTGAAGACGGGTGTGATATTCTACTTCTGGACGAATGCTGAGATAGAGCAAGACTTCAAACACAAGGAGGGGCGTAATGGGCAAACAAAATATTCACTGGCCGAGCAAGAGTTGAGGGATGCTGGGGCTGAGAGCTGGACAGAAGAGCACTGGGTTCCACGAAACCTTCCGAGTATTTCGAAGTGAATGGGTAAGTCAGTGCTCAAAATTCTAGTGCCCTTTGCAAATGCAGGAATAAATTGAAGAGATCGACGCCCAGGAAGAAATTACTGCGAAAGGGGATACGAATTCTTCTGTTTGAAGACTTATCACATAGCTATTGACTACAATATGAGATATTCTCCTGATTTGAGATAATCCCCAAAAGCTACTGATATGAAACTTTAAGTTATTCTGAGCGTCTTTACAATGTCAAATATGACTATCAATACTAGCTCCGTTCCTGGCCCTCAAAAGAGTGCCGCAGGACTTTTGCCAGAGCGATGTAGACTGGGCTGAACCAGCAGGGAATATTTAAAAAACTGTTGCACGAAAGATTCCGTGTTATTTACTTTGCGGACTCCTCAATGTATCTCCCCGTGAGGTGCGACACCTTTTGCTGTTGTAGGCGGAACGAGTAGCTGCCGACCGCGAGGAGCTGCGAGGCTGGCTAAGTGAAGTGGACTTTTGACGCTACGAGAGAACCAGCCAAATTTTGCGCCAAGCCTCGCTCTGATTGACTTGTTTATTGGATAATGCACGTGATGTAAGAGTCTCTGTGTGGACAGTTGTTTTCTAGTTATCTGGTACCTGATCTGGTTACTACACATCAACGTTTAACGACCGCAAAGGGTTGTGAGAATGTGCAACTTTCAACAGCGTTCTCTGTAGTAGAGTAGGATTCAACTGGATTGGCTAAATGAAAACTCCTCCTCCAACTGGACCTTAGGTCCGTGCATTTCCTAATAGTTTCGGCCCCCCCAGGTCTCGCTACTGAAATATTTCAGCCTTCTTGCAAGGACAATAGTGTGGTTATTTCCGTTCAATTCCAGGTCCTAGGGCGAGACCAGTGTTTGTCGAATAGCTTGTCTTTGGAATCTGCGGCCACAATACTGGCTGCCCTAAATGGATTAGGTGTAGCAATCTCAATATGTACATGGCTATTGCCTTCTCTCAGTGTGTCGCGACGTGTATACCATTACTAGTCGAATACACGTCCAATTGCTTGGCATTATTAGGTAAACTGCTTACAAAGCGGTAATTGGATGTTAAATAGTTTTCATCCAGTATTTTAGAAATTCAGACTTATTGCGATTTCCATACCAGTACCAAATGACGATTAGTGGCCTAGATTAGACTACGAAACAAAGTGGAGCAAGGAGAAGCGTAAAACCAATCATGTCGAGCTAATACTATCGCACGGCCTGTGAACGCGATTCCAGTCGTTCTGGAGAATCAGTCCTCTTTTCACATATATGGTATAGCATCTCGAACATACTACACTCCTGCGCCATTATGGGGGAAAGTCTGATCATCTGCACCAGGTAGATGAGTATGACTGGAGTCACAAATTTCAATCCGGAATACTTAAATTTTGCGCTACTTCCTCTCAATACCCCTTTTACCCAATGTGTATCTATGACAAAGAGTGGGATTGCAATCTGCTTGCCAGCGCAGCAAGACTTCTCGGTGGACATGCTACGCGCTTCGAAATCGCAAGCTCGCGGTTCTGAACAGCAAAACTCTTTTAGGATCGACAAAGCGTTCGGACGCCACCTACGTATGCAGGGGAAAGACGTTACACAATGATGGATATCCTGAGCGATCGCGCAAAAGTAGTAGTGACATCCTCCTACGGCACTCTTTTGCTGAGGGTGAGGAGCGGAACGAGCACTACCAGTGTGGGTTTGGTTCGCACAATTATACGAGGGAGATCTTGACACCTCAACAAAAATTCCAGCGAATTTCCGGAAAATGAGTATTTCCGGCAGTCAATTGCCCGCACATTTACGACACAAATTACTTTCCTGTTGACGCACTAAGGAGCCAACTCCGGATCACCCCAGTTTCAGCTCGCTCTTAAAGCCAATCACAATTCTGGATGGCCCCCTCAAATTTTAATTTTAGAACCCCTCGGGTTTCAAAACCCCCGGGAGGGTCGTAGGAGAGCTAAGGGCATGTATGTTCTAGGGCGGTGTTAGACTGTGTGACAGTGTGTTTTCGATGTCAACGAGAGACTCAGTTCAAAGAGGGGCTTAGCTGATACTCAAAATTACGGAAAGCAGATCTCTGCATCATGCGCTGGAGATTTTGAAGATTGCGAGGCTCGTTGGGATGAACGTGAAGGCATGGCGATGCTCCTCTTTTAATAATTATTCCGAACACCCGCCCGAGGCGGGTTACAGTTCTTGCACGTTTACACGTCCGCAACGCTTTCTAAGGAAATAACCAGAAAGTTCCAAATCGGTGACATTAAGCATGGAGCTTGAAAGGGATGGCCAGTCATGAAATCACCGTAACCGGTCGAGCAAAGTATGGGCCTGCCTCTCAGTCATAACGCGGACCTCATTGCAGCGTTCTTTCGTCTCGACCTCTTTCGCCCCCGCTCGTGCGTCCAAGAGCTCTTGCTCTAGGCGCTGTTGCTCCATGAACTCGTCCTCCACGTCCGGTCCCTCCCCCAGTTGGCGCTCTTCCACGATCTGTCTGACCCACGTATTTACGGACACGTCAGTCGACGACGAGGCACTGTATGGGGTTGGTTCGAATGAAGCTGTAGATAAATCGCTCTCGAGGTCCTCCAGCCGTGTCTCCCACGTGGGAATATCCGTGTTTGGTGCGGTTTGGCGGAGGAAGTCGGTCAGCCCGCCGACGACCTCGACGGAGTTCAAGATATCGTCTTCTTCTTGTCGTTGTTGTTGTTCTTCCTCGCGTGCTGTGTCAACAGATAGTGCACGAATGCGCACAAAAGAGTATTGTAAGAAGGCCTCGTCCTCGCTCCCTCGAAGTTTAGGATCTCGTCGACCTACAAGAACCATCCAGCCCCCTGGGGGATCTCTCCGAGTCGCACCCTGGCAGGGTCATTGGGATCCAGCTTGGAATCGAAGAAGCCCAGGGGGATGGGACGTACACACAACCATCTGCCGCTGATGATGCCGTTTTGATGGACCGTGGTGGCCTGTGGGGGCTCCCGTCATGGATGGGAGGGAACAATGACGGCCCCCAATTATAGGCGAATCGCAAGATGGCCTTGTCGGGGTCCTTGTTGGGACCCAGGGCCCGGAGGTACCCGAGGAATCGGACGGCGGAAGTTCTCCGCGGTTAGAAAGGTTATTTTCATGGAGTAGTAGCGTGTATACCCTGTGCTGGAACAGTTTGTGCTATCAAACATGAACAAGTGAATCATGGGAAAGACGGGTAGGCCTGCAGAGGTGAGGCTGGAATTAATCGCCCGAGACGAAGTGAGATATTTGCGGCTGCGTAAACCTGCTAACAAAGCGGAAGTCGAATGGATCGTTTTCCAAACGACAGGGTTCTCATCACAGCCCTAGTACCTGGTACTTGATCCAGGATTTGTGCATGACCAGTGGTCTGCGTGTAGAACTTAATCCGACCCAGTAATAACGAGGATTTTTCAGCAAGTACCGCAGCCTCGACCGTAGCGTAGTGGGCTTAAAGGCAAAGAAAAACTTCTTTCCAGGGGCGGACAGCCTGCCTTTTATGCTTCGAACCACGAGATCAGGCGAATACCCACAACGCTAGTCTAGAGCTCAGTCCCCTCTTGAGGCACCTGCCGGCAGGTTTGATTGGCTTATCCGGATTATATACTAAACGTTGCAGTGGGAGAATCGCTCTGGTGATGTCAGGTGACGTCGTAGGCCTCAGGCCTTATCTTTATGCAGTATATAAGCCCTCGATGATAGTTAACTTACACACCACCTTCCGGGTCAATGTTATCTTCGTTATTCGGATGTACGCTGCGGTTATGCTAAAGGCTCGAATGCTCTAATGTGCTATTCTCTCTAGGGTACTGCCTACTACACACATGATATGTGCACCCTGCGGGTGTGGTGTTGTTCCCTCGTTCTCTCCCCTCATCTGCCCACGCAGATAGCCATCGAGCATATCCCATCTTACAACGTGTAATTGTGACAAAGGCGCCATTCGCCCGCAGTGCTCTGGGCCCCCATTTGACTTACAAGCCAGCGCTTGCGGGACGTTATGCAAACCACGGAAACTATGAACAATCTGGGATGCGTGGTTCTTTCGGACAGACATCAGTGTCATCTGTGATTCCAGGGGCCGTCTTTGGCTAGAGTCGATGTCGCCCAGCTCCTGAATAAAAAATGACAGACTTCTCGGAAGACTCTCCGGATAATTATTTCAATTCGGGAGTATATTCCCGCGTTTCCAGATCGTGTAAAACGGCCGATGCACAAAAAGTAGATAAGTGGCCTTTGCAATAAATAACAAAATTGGTTACTGGGTTACCAAAGTTGTGTTTTAGCCAGGCGCGGTGGATGAAATTTGTTCATAGTCTCCTGCTACCATTAACATTCTTTCTTGTAATTAGAACAGCGAGTCGATGAGGCAGAGGGGTCTCTTCTTACCTGCCCTCGCCATGCTTCTCCAGAGAAACGAAATGTTTGTGCCAGCTGTAGAGTGGCCTCGATATTGATAGACAGATTGAGCCAAATAAAGGCTGCCAAGATTATAAACGGGGAGAAGGTGGACAAGACGCGTCCAAGGAGGTGCATTCTTTGCAGGATGGCCCGAAGAAATCGCAGTGGAGCAACAAACGATTACAACATATTCTAAGTCAATTTAACAGTCAATGCTAACATACGCCTCTGGATTACCCCGGGGAAGCACGACGATCCGGGTCGTGGCCAAGCACACTCGACTATTCGGGTTTAGCCGTGTGCAACTTTGCCAGTAGTTCACTCTTGGGAACCTCATCATCCCATTTACTACGAGGTCTCTCGAAGGTTGACACAACACGACCATAGGAGACACCGCCAAGTTGTCCAAGTGGTCTCAATTTGTCCAGGTCGATATGGCTGTAATCTGGATTGGCTGTGCCTTCCTTGACCCAAAACCGAGTGGCCTTGATGAGGACAGTAGCAGCAAGGCTCATCCCAGGCTGTTGATGATCGTTGAATTCTTTAATGTCGATAACTTTGCCTTCAATGTTAAACACCGACTCCTTAACACGTGAAGGCTTCACCGTTGTGGACGGTGCTTCATGAAGGCCCGAGACGTCCCACTCTGATACACCGTATGGCGCATCAATAGAGCTGGCATTGACAGCTTCAATCATATTCTCAGAGACAGTATTGATAACGCATTCTCCAGTTTCCTTTAAGTTGCGGTAGGTATCCTTGACGCGGCCCGGACGGGACGAGAATCCCACAATGAACATGGGCGGGTCATGATCGATAACTTGAAAGTAGCTGAAGGGCGAGAGATTCTTCTGTCCTTTAGAATTGACAGTACTTAGAAAACCAACTGGCCGGGGTGCAATTCCCGAGACCAGCAGGCGATAGTTGTTCATCATGGGTCGATCTGGCGCATAGGGATCGATTTCATGGTGTTCTTGAGCCAGGCTTGCCCCGTTGTCTGGCACTCCTTCTCCATACGTCCATTTGGGATACGGTGATTTGGTCACCTCAACAGGTTTTAAGTGGTCAAAATCCGGGCGCTGCGCTTCTGTCTCTGCAAAGTTGCCAAAGTCCTGGACAATCTTGTAGTTTTTTTGCGCTGTCGCAGTATCGCTTTCCGTAGCGGTGGCGACGGCAGCAGCAGACGCAGAAGAGTTCATTCGGGAATGTTTCAATGGCTGAGCTCTAATCCAATGTCTCCGAACGAGATTTTGAGTCCTGGCGACAAATATTAGCAAAAAGGGGCGGATTGGGAAGAGGGAATTTGAAGATGCCTACTGATAAGACCAATCATAGGCTTTCCTAGCCCGGAGCTGTAGCAGTGGGAAATTGCCCTAATCATCGGTTGACATGCCGATGGCTGCGCTGACCTGCTCTCGCCTTGTGAGGAGGACCATTCTCTCACAAATTTGCCAAAGAGTACATTTACAGTTAGGTCAATATTGGGAACTGAGTTCCCAAAAGAACCACCCTCACCAGGCCTTACCCTGTAGCTCTATGTTAACCGCAAGGACAGTTGAGTGGCCAAGTACCCGACCTTGGAATGACAGCATGCCGGGGCAGGCTCTAACGATCCGAAAACTGTTCAAAACAAGATAAGCCAGAAGTTAAGACCAGGCTGGGGTAGATTGCGGGGAAACAAAGTGTTACGTACGGAAAACGGTTCGCCCTAGCTTGCCTTGTATAGCCTTTCTCGTCGGCTGTTGGCTGCTTATCTCCCCCCTTATATACCGTGGCATCCCCGAATCAGCAGGCTACAGTCCCCATTACATTGGGCCTAAGTTCAATTTAACGCTTGGGAATCTTCTTTAGCTAAAGCTCTCATCTGAATTTATTTCCTTCAATCCGCCATGTCTGCCTCACAACAGGTTAATCTATACGGCATGGAAATTGAGTCAGGACTTGGAAGCCCTGGTCAAAACGATGATATGAAAAAGGGAGAACCAGCAAATACTGCGGACGCTGATCCTTTTGGAGACGAAGAGACGGCAGAGATCAAGTACCGGACTATGAAGTGGTGGTATTTATGTTTGACCCGACCCCTCGCATCCGAATGGAAGCTCACTTTCCCGTGAAATCCCAGGCAATGTGGCATGCGTGAGATACCAATTCCGAAAACGACCACTCAACTTAGTACTGAGTTCTGAAGTGATGATCGCCGAGAATATTTCCTTGGGAATCCTATCTCTTCCCTCTGCAGTAGCGACCTTAGGCATGGCACCGTGGGTAATCAGGGTTGCTTGCACAATAGAAGACTGATGCGTTTACAGGGCCGCGATACTTATAACCTTTCTGTCCGGGCTGTCATGGTACACGGGATATGTGATCGGGCAATTCAAACTGCGATATCCCCAGGTCCACAGCATGGGCGACGCAGGAGAAATTCTTTTAGGGCGGACCGGACGCGAGATCCTCGGCATGGGCCAACTATTATTCCTGATTTTTCTCATGGCAAGCCACATACTAACGTTTTCTATTTTGATGAACACACTTACTGACCATGGAGCCTGCACCATCGTATTTGCCGTGGTTGGACTCATAATTTCCTTCATTGGCACAATCCCGCGCACCATGGAGAAGGTCTATTGGATGTCAATTACATGTTAAGTCTCCAATACGTCTCTAGACTACTTTCACACCTAATAAATAATAATCTGCAGCGTTTATAAGTATATTTATTACAACTTTGGTAACTATGATTGCCATGGGTGTGCAGGCAAAAGGACACGTTCAGAATGACGCCAGCCGCGAAGTCAGTTTCTATGAGGCATTCTTGGCTGTGACAAACATAATTTTTGCATTTAGTATGGCTGCCAATTTGGAAATAAGGGGAGGGTGCGACAACATAAGCCAATATCTAACCCATTGATAGTTGCCCATGTCGCCTTTTTCGGATTCATTTCTGAAACTGAGGATCCAAAAGCATTCCCTAAATCCCTGGCCATGTTGCAAGCTGTTGATACAGTCATGTACTTGGTAACTGCTCTCGTGATCTATCGATTTGCCGGCCCTGATTTGGCATCCCCGGCATTGTCCTCCGCTGGTCCACTTATGAAAAAGGTTGCCTTCGGATTAGCCATTCCCACTGTGAGCAGGTATTCCAATTTCCAACTATTCGCCTACTAAACAAGGATAGGTCATCATTGCTGGTGTTGTTATTGGCCATGTTGCCTGTAAATACGTCTACGTACGTATTTTTCGAGGATCGGCCCATATGCATCAACGCAACATTGTCGGAGTTGGTTCATGGATCGGAATTTGTTTGATCATCTGGGTCATTGCGTGGATTATAGCGGAGTCAATTCCGGTCTTCAATAACATTTTGAGTCTCATGGTAGTGTCTCCACAAGCTGAAATCACAAGTGAAGTATAGTATTAACACAGACACTAGAGTTCGCTCTTCGGGAGTGTCTTCAGTTGTAAGTCAAGATAAAGCACTAATCACAAATTAGGACACAGAGTAACTTTTAACCTCGGCCACTAGACTCTTTGCCCGCTATATTCTGGTTGCATATGAACAGGGACAATACTTTTCCACTGGCTCAAAGACTGTTCTAACTGTTTGCAATGCTATCATCCTTGGAATCGGCTGTGCCATGGTAAGCGATGATTTTCAAACTGCACATTTGGCGGCGACTGACGTTGATCGATATAGACCGGAATGGGATTATACGTTTCTGGGAGGGCAATCCACGAAGACAGTGGCAGCAATACCTGGGCCTGTGCCAACAACGCCTGAAACTACCCTGCTGGGCTTTCATAGCGGAATAGTCAAGAAACTCTTGCCTCACATTTTACCGTGGAATGGTCACTTATACTGAGATGGAAGCCGGGTTCTGAGAGGATGAGGAAGATAACAGGAAATATACTGGTGTTCCAAGGGTTTTAGACTATTGGTGCTCTCTTGTTGTCAAATCTTAGATTATAACTGTAGCAACATTGTAAAGGAGTGCATTATCGAATCGTATTGGATCATGGGAATATCCAGGAAAACATTGAACCAAATCACATCCAGTAGAATACATAATGGTCTTGACATCCAATTAACCCTAAACCCTAAGATCACTGAGATAAATCACATGATGATGGACTAGTGTGAGCTAAACAGTCAGCGTTGAAGCTCTGCCCAGCACATGAAAATTCCAGAGTTGCAAGACACATCATACTTATCGCCCAACACTGTAGATACCTGCGGTATAAACCGCATCATAGTAAGCCGTGGGGAGTAAGCGAGCAGTTGGTATCTACACTTACATGGATTTGGGCACTAAATGAACAAGTCTCATCTGCAGTGTCAGTTGGTAGGCATAAATAGCCCCTGGAGGCGGCCTCACACTGGCACCCTCGTCTCGAATAGGATTCGATGCACAAATTACAGACGCAAGCCCGCAGTCAAGCATACAGACCACCCGGAAAGGCCTGGTTGATGTGATTCGTTTGATGCATGACGGCAAAGTCTTAATCGAAGCATCCCAGGTCGAGACTCTGCTTTAGAACATACTGGGCAATCCGTGTGGTCACTAACCGGCCATAAATGGACTATACTAAAAGATTACTTGGTAGCAAATTGTCAATTTTTTGGGTTTCACGTTTTCTATTCCACAAACCTGCCTTCTCTGCCGACTCACTCTAAGAGGAGCAAGCAATACGGTCGCTTCATAATACTGAGATTTTTAAGTTATTCAATGGGGATGGATCATATTCTATCAAGTTATGCAGAATTCCCTTTGCATGTCCCAATCATTAGAAGTTAGTTCCGCTCAAGTTCGTCCACACTAAGATCCTTTTAATATTGGACACTTTATTGCGCCCATTCAATTCAAAGATGCAGAAGTACGTCGAACTTCTGGTTCACGCTGCTTTTATTTTTTTAATATGGTACGATTCAACCAAAAATTCGGCGCCGAAGCTCTTTTTTCAAAGCAGTTACCATATGCTGGGTTCTCTCAACTACACCCTTATTCTCGATAGACCGACGATGAAGGTATTGCATGCACTCTGCAACAGAGCCCCAGACCATGCACTTAAATGCCTTCGGAACTGGCATATCTGCTTCTCTAGACTGCTCCATAGCTCGCTCATAGTTTTGCACCAACTCGCAACTCAGCTCATCTGCCATCCCCTGGACCTGTCCACACTCTAGTGGGATGGTGGGTTTGTTTGCAAGGAGTCGCTTTTGGTGTACAGCAATTGCCTTGACAGCACTAGCAGCGTTATGTGTGGCGAGGAAGAGAGCAGCATTCGGGAAATCGAGCTTAGAGCCCTCGGGCATTCGTTGACATATCATTGTGTCTGCGATAAGATCATACGACTGATCTGTTTCTTCCTTGGTGTCGTGGATGAGAGAACGAATTTCATGTTCAATGTATGCTCCTCGGACGAGCTTGATTCCCACTCCAAAGCCCCCCCTCGGATGCTAGAGTAAGATGACGATCAAGGTTTGCCTTTGATCCTTTGAGGTAGCCTTGGATAGTGTTGTATACTAGTGGCGGGCCAGAATTATTATGCTTCTTCATGATCTGAATAGCCCAGTCATCGAGTCCATGCTGGAGGACCTGCTGTTCAGCGTCCAGCCACAAACGTGATCCTTGCTCTCGGGTAGCAAGGCAAATATCATCCATTGCCTTTGCCACGACCTGAGGCATAGGCTTTCTCTCTGCCATAGCGTCGATACAAATAGGACCGGCACCTGTGAGTCTTGGAATATCTATTAGTGTTGGCCTTTAAATGGTCAAATCCACCCGCACACTTACTTGACTGCCAGATAATCACCCGCCCCAACCATACGTAAAGTTTTTAATGTCCCCTTCTTCCACTCTTCCACAATTTCATAGCATCGATCGCTATATACTTTCGTGCCAGATCCATCATGGACCACAGCATCAGTCGGGTCAACGGTGATCTCCTTTGAATAACCCAAAATAACTCCTTGATATCCGATTTTCTTGATATCTGCAACTGTCTTGGAGACTTCCTGGCGGTTTGTTCCGGCGCAGAAGTGATCGTATACAGTCCAGCGAATGATTTTATTAAGGATCCTATTGCGGTCCGGGTTGAGGATGGCTGACTTTGAGTTCGTGATGATATCCAGTGCAGCAAGGGACGGCTTGAGGAGTAGTTTGGATGACATGAGAGATGTCAGGACCAGCGACCGCAGAATAATCTTAGTCGGCAGTCTTGCCATGGAGGGTACCTCTGAGGGAGGAAGGAGAGACGACGAAGCGGACTTGCTTGCCGGATCATGCAAGGCCGACTTAGTCGAGCGGTGCCGCCAGAAGGTTATGCCGTGCCGTGGGAAAGTGCTGGGCATCGACCCAATGCGGGGGTTGGAAAGAGACCGAGATTTCATCATGACCATATATGATCTAATTGACATATCAAGACACAGGAGTCACCACAAAAGATCCCTCAACCTGCTTTGCGAATTTGGCGAGCCGGAGAGCATGTCTGATATTATTATATATCCAGCTAGAAGATCTCCAAATTAACACAGATCCATCAGGGTTGCCAATTATCAACTCGCTCGCCGGATCATGCCGGTGTGGTTCCGACACTCAGTCGTGCAAGTCGGGATGGGCATCCGACACACATCACTCTTGGCTTTCAATCGACCGACGGTTAACCAACCACGTTCCGCAAAAAGAAGGCTTAGCGGAGCCTTCTGCAGGCATTCCGGGTGCCATTCAAGATCAATTGTGCTCCATTAGAGTGGCAAAGGTAAACCGCCTCTCGTCTCCTCTGACCGACGCAACTGGTGTGCGGTTAGATTATGTCTGACCTTATCGGCTTTTAGCCATCTCGATGTACAGCACAGACTTGCCCCTAGCAGGACGTGTACTGGATACTTCGCGGCTACTCTAAGTGAACGACGTTACGATGAAGGTAGCAACTGACAAGTTGGACAATTTCTGGGTTAATGAGAATCTTCGACGTGAAAAGAGAACAAAGGTGGAGGACAAAGCCAATGGCGTCCTTGTTTAAACGGGATGGAGCGATAGTCAAGCCGTTTAAGTACGATCGAAGGAAGGGGCGAGTTCTTGTTCAGTGTCCCACGGCTAGAATTCTTTTTTAATGAGACCTTTGAGTAATTCGTGAGTGGTGGTTAATTCATATCTTGAGCCCTTGCCTAGGTCATGTGGCGAGATCCTCTGTTCACATTGACTGGTAGTGGTATTCATCATCTTATTATCCTCCTGGACAGGCATACCAGTGTCAGAAGATGGATTGTAAGGGTCGGGATGGCCCTCCGTAGTTATATTGGATGTGCTATACTCCCACGTCTCCACGTCTCCAAGTACGTGGGGTTGCTTCTGATTTACTGTCGGAAGAACACGTTGAGCTAGTGAAACGATCGTATATTGACTAACAAAAACTATTTGCACACACTCTCTGGCTAACATCGTACAGCCTATCAAACCTCATTAGAAGGATACTGCACCCTCTCCAACGGGACATATTCCTCCTTAATAGTCCGAGTGCTCACGAATCTTAGCAAGTGAGCCATTGTGCCTGTCTTGTCATTCGTGCCAGAGTCCCGACTACCACCAAAAGGCTGCTGGGCCACGACAGAGCCGGTACATTTTGTATTAAGATAGAGCATTCCCGCGGCATGCTTCAAGATGGTCTGCGCCTGGCGACTAGCATAGGGGTCTTTGGCGAAGATACTGCCCGTGAGAGCATAGCGGGAGGTAGTATCCACTGTCTTGAGTGTTTCCTCCCACTTATTACCAGGGAAGACATAGATACCTAGGATAGGGCCAAACAGTTCACGAGACATGATATCATGGCGCGGGTTACTGGTCTGGTACACTGTAGGATGAATGTAGAACCCTTCTTCTTTTGATACCTTTCCACCGGCAATTAGCTCCAGCTCAGGATCGTTCTTTGCGTCTTCAATAACTTTGTTGAGCTTGTCGAAGGACCGTTCGTGGATGACCGGGTTAACAAAGTTGCCGTAGTCCTCCACAGGACCGGTCTTCAATGCAGCAATTTCTTTCTGTAAATGGTCCTTGAATTCTGGCCAGACCGACTCAGCAACATAGACCCGTGAGTTGGCTGAGCACTTCTGGCCCTGGTACTCAAATGCTGCACGGATTGTATTCAGTGCCGCGCTCCTTATATCCGCAGACGAATGAACCACGCCCCAGTTCTTCCCGCCAGTCTCACCAACCACACGAGGATATGAATTGTAAATAACGTTAATTTTGTAGCTTATTAATACGAACGAAGGTGAGGCAAAGTCACGTTATTTTTTGACCTCTGCTCTGCTGTATCCCCCTAAATTCCCCTCTATCACCCAATATAAATTAATATTAGTCAGCAGACTAAAAGTTTCCAGACCTCTTTTATACTATTTTCTATCTCTCTAGACCCTGCTTATATAATTATAGCCTTCTTAATCCCTACTAACTAAGCTTACCTATCTAGTAGTACAAACCAGATTTAGTTAGCTTTAGTGGTTAGCCAATAAACAGTAACCCTACTCCCTACCTAAAAACCCTCTAATACCTTATAGCTAAGGCAGAAACCCTAGGCTTAGAAAGCTAGCCGAAAAAGGGTATAGACTACCCGTCGGTCCTGGTCTTGGCATACCCCATCAAAAAATCACCTACCAAAATCAGACCCCTTAGGGTTTTACCCTTCCTACTAGAAATTATTCTATTAAACCTGATAGAAGGATAGTTTAGATAATTCTAATCAAACTTCTAAAAAGCCCGATCGAAAAATATAC